CCTAGTGATGTTACAGTGAAAGTTGTGCTACGCTGATTTTTGATTTTCTTCTTGCCAGTTAATCTTGCTTCTTGTTGGCTTCATTGTGACTGTTAAGAAGATTATTGTTTCCCGTCAGCTGGCTTACTTGCGGATGATGCAGTCTGCATTCGATTGTGCAAGCCTGGTATGTATGCTGTGTTCCGCAGTGACAGATCCAGTCTCATCTTCCTTGCAGAGACAAGTCATGTGTTCACTGAGTTTACTGATCCAGTGATTAAGGCTTCTGCCGATTTCTTTAGTGTAGCTCTCTCCATACAAGCAATTCATCTGGCATACCATCCAGGCATTCACTTATTTTGATACTTTATCTTTCTCGTAAAGTAAGTTGCCCAGCTTCTTTATAGACTGTGGTTGCCTTCTTCTTGATCACGAAGCAGGTAAATCGTCACTTGAGCTTTTCTGGTTCTCGATGAACAGTAAAGGGTAGTTTTGGTGGTTATCTTTCCACTTGGTTAGGCAACCTGTTTAACTTCCAGTTAACTGAGTTTGCCTAACGCATCCAAGAACGGTTGCTTGTTTTCAGTTCTCCAGGTCATGAATAAAATAAGTGATTTCGTTGACGGAGTTCAAATGATCAAAGTTCTTCCCAATTGTGTCATAAAATATGAATATCATCAGGGCAACTGCATCCTGCCAAAGGTGTCAGTTCCGCTCAATGTTTTTTTTTGTCATAGAACGTATCGGAACGGCATTCCGGGACTTTTTCTTCGACGGACTTTCCAAATTTCGAAAGTAACTTTTGAAAATTTGTTGTTTGGTCCACGTAGATCTGAATCGCTCTGTCGAGCGCAGCAGGTCGACGCAAAGTCATTAAAATAGGGCATGCAGGCTTGTTAACTAACATTAACAAGATGTGAATTCCGGCACCTTTTTACCTACAAAAAAGCACTGGTTCCGCTTATTCAGAAGCTGTTTTGTGAACAGTTCCATACTTATTTCGGCCAGAATGGGAAATATTTGGCGATCCTGTTGTGTAGCCTTTCTGTTTGTTAAAGTGTTTTGCAATCTCCAAATTTTTTAGCTGTTCTGTTGTTTGGACAGAGTCTAGGCATACTTCCACAGCTTCTAGCACATTTACTTCCATCCAGTCGGTAGCGACTCGCTTGGTTTTCGCTTCATTTCACACCTAGAGAATTTTTAATGGTCGTTTTAGCATTTCCGACGTTGAGTCTAATTTATTGTCAGCAAAATAAATTTTCTATGGCATCATTAAAACAATTGCCAAATGCCCAGCCAACCTACTTAAGCATATATAAATTTCATTGTTTTTCGTGTGAAGTACAGGTCTGTCGTGCTGTATTAACCATGGAAACACGAGACACTCTTTGCTGCGTTTGAAAGGCAACAATAGAACCTGAAAATCTTTGAAGTTACGTGCAGAGCTGTGCCGGATTCAGCTTTCGAGGGTTCGAGTGTTGAACGACGTCCGCTTGTACTCTTTGTTTTGCGTAGATTAATGCCGTATGGAGGAGACCGTTCGATGCTAGATCTGTAATGTAAGACAATTACTGCATGATTCGCGTGCGTTTCCGGTTCGTCCGCGATGCGATCAGCTGTGCTTCCGCGGTGCGACGCGGTCACTCTGGTGTCGCACGACCACCAGTTGCCGTTGTACATCGCGTATCGGAAGCCGTTTCCTTTTTCTTACTGCCGGCTGGATCGAACGAGGTGCCAAGACGAGACCTTGGAAGTGGTGGCGGTAACAACGGCCGACCGTCGCCGAAGCTTTCGTCCCCTAGCGTCGTTGTCAAGGTCGTGCAGAAGCCTCAGCAGCCCTCGTTGTCGAGCCATGTCAAACTGATTGGCGCAGTGCGTGCCATGAACGATTACTGTTTGAAGGCCGAAGACTTGAATGTGCTACCTCGGCAGGTATGAGTTTCCGTTCAGCTGCCAATGTTTATTAAAATCCTGGTAGTAGAGCTGTGACTGTGTTGCGCATACAGCGTTACGTATTATTCCGTTTAAATCAGGCATCATTATTGTTAATATTATTTATGCAACGGTGGTAACGAAAGCTCCTACATCAGGATTGTTTTATTTTGTTCAATTTGATTTTCATAATGTTTTATGTTTAATTATTTTACATTTTTAAATAAAATGGGATCCGATTGTTTTATGAGGCGCAACGGATGATTATCCGATACCGATGATTCTTCCAGTGTCACATGATCTTTCTTCGTGGTTAACTTCATGTGACCATGATAGATGTTTGTTCGATCGGATCGGAACTTCTGCAGCGGAAGGTTCAGTTGGAACGGAGAGTTAGAACGTACACGAGACTTCATCACGAAATTTACCGTAGAGAACCATCGTGAGATACGAGCCGAAATATCAGTGTCGATCAATCGTCGATTGATCACCACCTCATTGCGTTATGTTGTATGGAAGCGTTTTGTCTGACTATTTGATGTACACATAAAATATGTATTTGGCACTGTTCGGTGACTCCCTAACAAAGGCTTCATTTCAATAAAACGCCCGCAGTTACATTTGACATTCTATAGTCCTTCTCAGAAGTTTTCAGAGAAGAATGTACAGAAATGTATGATGTCAGCGTCATTGGGCCAACAGATGAATCATCAGATAAAGTATCGAGGATGTATGAGTGAGAATGAAATGGGTATGGTCGAATTTCTTTACGCTTGGGCAAAAAGGAATTCTGTATCTTTGGAAACATTGCCGAAAGTCACCTGCATCTTTTGTCCAGGATATGATGACATATTCATCGGATCTAGCAATGACATCCGTCTACTTCACTGCAGACGTTTGAGAAAGTGATAAGGTATGGTCATTGTAATCGACTGTCACGCATTTGGCGAAACTTTCTAAAGCTTGCACGGCCATGACGAGTATATCATACTCACTGGTAGAGGAAATCTCTGATATAATATACACTCAACGCGTAATAACACCGCCGGTTACGGCGACAAAAACAGTGGTTTTTGTCCATCAGTTGAAACACTATGACGGTGAAGGCTAATGGAGCACTGAAAGAGTCCATCAACCAACGTACATGCATAAAAGCAAACACTGCCACCGATCTCAGCACCCGAAGGAAACCCGGATTTGCAGTGTTCACTGGTGGACATCGGACAACCAATGGTCGACTAGAACTACATGCAAACGGTTTCTCTGCCGCACTCTAGGTATTGGCAGCACCCATCACGGGGAACAACTCAGCGATTAAGAAGATTGTTGTGGTGGATTCAGCAGAAGTTGTCAAGACAACGGTGAAGCCGATAAGGGCTCCATTTTGTAGGATAATTTTTTGGCAGCATGTCTGATCTCTGTTTGAGGCGACTGACTGATATGATCTGAGTGTACGACGTCCCCTTTGATCTCCCAACAATCGAGCTGAAAAAACCTGAGTTCAAAGGGGTGAGTACTGATACTTTATTTAATATTCAGTTTATGCACTTGTTTTAGTTTAACTAGCATGTTCCCTCTCTAGTTTTCGATACGTACTGAAAGTACTCCTCGCTTCCCTGAATTTATTACCCTAAACGTTGGCATTATCAAGTACTTCCGTTGAACGAAGAACTTGCGCAACTGTGCTTCATTACTACTGAATTGCAGAAGAGTAGTAAGCCGATGATCCGTGAACGTTTACAATTATATAGTGCAAACGTTCATTTTGCAGACATGTTGGCGGTTACTTGATTTCTAATGATATCCTATGTTTAGATTGCTTCATCG